TCCACTATCCCCTGCCCGGCAGTGGGGGAGATGCCAGCCAAGCCTCCTGGAGAGACTGGGATCATTACAGATTGGTTTTATTGATTTATTTTTTTTTTTTTAAGCTGTGGTATCAGCGTTTGCTGGTGCTGCGATCCCTGGAGGCATGCTGCATTGCTACAGAGCAGCCCTTCGGCTGGGTGGGATGGTCCGACAGGCCGGGAGCCAGCTGGCGTGCCCAGTTTGTTGCAGAAGAGGTCACCTGTTCCTGGTTCTTTGTAAACCTGAGCTGTTTCTTCCCCAGTCCCCCACCTCCCCCAGCAGTCATTGCGGAGGAAGAGGGATGCCCCGCGGGTCAGTGACTTGACCCTCCTGCAGGTTCTTGACAAGCTGAGCCAGCCAGCGCTTTGTGGTCGTGTCGTCCTTCAGGACCTGGGCAAAGGTGGTGTCCTTCAGTTGGTCAGGAAGGCACTGCCTGAGAGCTTCACGTGCCCTACATCAAGAGACAAGAAACGGGGCCCAACAAATAAACTCACAGGGGCAAGAGGGGAGCAAACCCCACTGGGGACACAATGCTCCTTTGCCTGGGGGTCTCCCTGGGAGGGCCAGCCAAGGAGAGCATTGAGCAGCCACACCACAGCATGTGGTGCTCAGCCAGTCAGCACAGCTCCCATCCCTTACGCTACACCCTGCTGAGCCAAATCCTGTGCCCTGGCACCCATCAGTCAAGAGCAACATGGTGCCAGGAAAGGCCGAGACAACAGGTACATACCCAGCGGCTTTGGGCAGAGCTGCTGAACAGCGTGAAATCAGTTTGTATTCCCTCAACTGAATTTCATCTTTTGGCTTCTCCTGTTAATAGCACACATGATGTGGGAGAGAGCGCATCATGTACCTTCCACCTCAGTCCCTCCCTCATACATAGTTCAAGCCATGTTTGAGCTCAGGCAATCACAACCTGCACAGCTTGAATCTCCACAAGCCCCAAACAGTCACTGTTTCTCCCATGTACCATAAAAGCTCCAGGGACCAGCAAGAAAAACCCAAACAAACCAGAAAACCCACCTGTTTTCCACACTGAGCTAAGGCAGGTGTAAGGACAGACAAGGAACCCTGACTCTCCCGGAGCAGGCACTGCGGAGGAGAACTGCACTTCCAAGGCAGCCGGAGAAACCCCTGCCCAAACTCCTAAAATGTTTACCTGGGGTTATCGGAAAGGCGAAGGTAGCAGCGGACGACATGTTTCAGCAGCCGTGCCGACGGCTCCTTGGAGAGCTGCAGGACCATTTTACCCTGTTTGACAGAGGCCAGTGCCACCAGTTAAAGTCTTTGTAAGAACAGCTTCACAATCAACAGAGACAGAGAAAGACCACTAAATCACTCTCTCTGGATTCCCACGCATCACAGCCCATTACCTTTCATCTGGACAGCCCTGCAGGGAGCCCGGCACTCTGCTTGCCAAGATGCCTTTGAGAAGGGCAGCTAGCCACGATTTGGAAAGGATTCTCCCAGCAGCTCGAGCAAAGCTTGTCTCATCTCTATTCGGTTTTTACCTCCCCAGGACTGCGTATGAGTCCAACTCTGCTTGATTAAAGAGAGCCTGGGGTTTCTTGCTCTTGAAAGAGGCAAACATATCCCAAACACTTTGATAAGCTCCAGCTGAGTCACCCTGTGAGGTGTGTTCCCAAGCTCTGCAACACTCTGTTCTCATCTGCGCTGCCTTCGTTTCAACGCCCTTTTAAAACATTAACAATGCCGAAGGTCTGGGCTCACCCACACCATGTAGAGTAAGATCCACACCTGGTCTTATCACACACCCAAGAGTTGTATTTTCCCTTTCTGCTACATCTCTCATTAAGCCACTACTGGGAAGCAAGACCAGGGCAGATCTCCCTAGCCCAGCCTCCGTTTCTCACACCATGTAAGACTTTGCATGTGGTTGCACCTTTGAACGCACCCTGCCTAGTGAACAGCATGGATGCCTTCACGCATCTGCTTCCTGATATTTAGGAGTCAATCAGATCTGCCCAACAAGTTGTTTTTTTTTCCTGTAAAACTACAGTGGCTAGGACTAACCATTTTCCTCATTAGCTACATTCACCTGTGTTTGGATATGCAGGCAGTTAGCAATTAGCAAATCCCCCTCATCTGCCCTTTTGCAAGCTTCCTGTTCTCAGCAGTTCCCCAGGACACCAACATTTCTTGACAATAAAGAACAGAGAGCTCCTCAGACAGCTCCTGGATGGGAAATACTAACTCACTCTTTTAAAAGCATCCAATACTTGCATAGCGTCTTACTCAGTTATCAGCAGACAAGGAAGTAAATCATCGCCCTCATGAGACATGAGTACACCATCCCAATTTTTGAAATAGAGAACAGAAATGCCTATGAACATTTTCATCCTTCTCCATAGTGCTATGGAATATTAATGATGCCAGGGCTTCACCCAATGGTAGGATTATACCACAGCTAGGACTTCTCCCCTGCTAACACAGCTTTACAGATCCACATCCTTCTGTATTTGTACCCTTCCCAGCTACGGATTCTTCCTTGGTCTCCTTCCCTTCCCTACCCCAGGGGTTTCTAATTGCATCCTTCGTTTTGCCCCCAAGCCAGACGTACTTTTGTCAAAGCCAAACCTTTTCTTGAATGCAAAAATTGTGTCACATTGGATATTATGGACATCAGCTCACAATTGTTTACATTTTGCTGTTCATATGTTAATTAGGAGGAAATATTTTCTTTACGTTTGGGAAAACAGACAAATAAATATTCCTAATGAAAGCATCAACATTTAGGCACAGAACCAGCACTGCAAATTGCTTAACTTAATGCTGCACTTTCTTCTCCTGAGACTGCTCTTTAAAAAGCAAACAAGCAAACCACCAAGCACAAAAGCAGGACGACAGCTATTCCAGGGCAGACGTGTATTCCCTTTGGCAAGCTCAAAGATAATAAAGCTCAAGCTGGGGCCATTACTCCTGGGACAAACAAATTATGAGTACCCAAATCTCTCCTTGACAGGGAACGGACAAAAATTGCCTGCTCTCTCTGTGTTCCAACATAAGAACTAGTCAAAAGCAGCAGGTAGCAGGAGGCAAGTTCAAAGAGAAAAAAAGGAGGCTGGCCTTCCAGGCAGCAAACAGGAAACCTGTGGAACTCTTTGGTAAATGCCACTGCGGACACAAAAAGCTTCCATGGCTTCAAGAGGAGGATAGGACAAACCCTGGACTTATTGCATAGAAAACCCACAACTGGCCTCAGAAATCCAAAGCCGAAAATAGCTAGCAGCTGCAAGACTTGTGAGGGTAAGTATAATATGCGCTTGCCTTGCTCTTACTTCTTCGCTCAACCTGCTGCTCTTTCAATCTGTTGTGGGAGTCAGAGATGGGAAATGAATCCATGGTCTGAGCTTGTGATCATTCTTACATAAAATTAAATCAATTCATATCCAACCAACAGCCCCGAAAACTTTTTCTTCTCTGGATACGTTTACCCAGTTTATCTTGGGAACTTAGCATGCTACAACTAATATATGTTCTCTTGACATGCACAACAGAGATACACAAAGGAAAGACGTGGAAGCAGAGAGCTACAGTATCGAAAGCAGCAAGTCCAAGAATGATTTGCCTCCCTCATCCCGTGCTCCAGGCAGAGAGCAGTAAAGCAGCTGCTGAAGAGGCTGGCTGCTTGAGCATAATTATTTTTTTTTTTTTTTTAAAGAGAGGAAACAATCTTACCAGTATCATGGCAACATGAGAAAACCGCTCGTAGGTCTGACAGATATATGCCAGCCCTGTGTCATCCAGGAGGATTTTCTGGAGAATAAACGTAGCAACCTAGAACAGAGAGAAAGCAGAAAAGAAAACATACGAACAACTTAACTATGTCAAAAAGAACAGGCTTTGTGCTGTGTTCTTTTCAAGGCAGACCCAGAGCTGAAAAGCCTTTCAGCAGGCAGCAAATGCTTTACTCAGTGAAAGTTTAAAGCCAAAAGAAAATGCAGGGCACTACACAATGCTTGGCATCTCTGGCTAAAGAAAAGAGATGGACACAAAGCAGCGTGTACAAGATGACTGGATGCAGGTTGCGTAAGACAGCAGCTACTGCCGGGCTGCTCGGGACAGCCTCAGGACTACGGCCACACTACTCCAGTCACAGAGCAAGAAGCAGAAGCATGTGTCCTTTAGCCCTGCCATCTATGTGGCAAGCTGACTTCAGTTTTCACCTTGAGCATTACTGATTCATCATGGGATGAGACTTTCTGAAAGAACCTCTGCCAGCTGTGTCAGTAGGCTTCACTAGAGAAGCACACACAGACTAAAACCTGTGGCCAGCCTACCTGGGTCATCAGACCAGTCTGACCAGAGATCTGAGCTCATGGGAGAAAGAGGCCCCTGATTAGAGAGGATAACAAACTGGTCCAGTGCAGTGAACATTCCCATAATCACCACTAAGAGCTCCCACCCAACCTCTGCACTGTGTAACTACAGCATTCGTTTTTTCATGCCAAGGAAAGTTGATCCAGCTCTGCCTTAAAAGTTACTTTGCAGGGCGACAAAGCAGGGAACGAGTGCTGAGAGCAGCAAGATCCTTCCTAGCAAAACTACCAACCTCAGGAACTCTCATCTTAGTTTTGTGATTTTTGGGGGTTTTTTTGTTTGTTTGATTTTTGAGGAGGTAAAAACTCCACCTTAAGCTGTCCCATGCAACAGGACACAAGCCAACTCTGCAGATTACTGGCTGCCTGGTCAGTCGGAGACAAACAACAAAAAGTCTTAATTAGGACAAGACGAGTAGGTACCGTTTTGGAGAGTTCACTGCCAGACTCCATAATGCGTAAGCACAGGGGGATGATTTCTGTTGTCAGTAAGAAATTTATCACTTCTTGCTCATCAGTTTTCACTAAGGCCCCTTAAAGGAAAAACAAAAAAAACAAAAACAGTAAGTGATAAACTGTTGAAAATTAAAAATCTCACCTTCTAAAGAGGACCTGTGCTGTTTTCTCCCCAGGAATCATTAGGTCTGAGTGGCAGGCAGAGTCTGTCATCCTAAACGTGTTGCAGCACACAGCTGGCGAATAAATCGTTTTGGCAGCATAGAAGTCATCAAGCTGGGTTTGGGGGTTGTTTGTGTTTCAGAAAGGGGATGCAGCCTTGGCTCTCCCTCAGTGGTATCACAAACACAAGAGGATCATATCACCCGACAGCAACCTCTGGGAAAAAGAAATACACTTCAAGACCTTCTTACTTTATGCATTAAGAGAGAAATGTTTTGGGCAGAAAAAAGAAAAAAGGAAAAAAAAAAAACAGGACAAGGAGAAGACAGGGCAAATACAAGCCAATCAATGACATAAGCCATGGAAGCCCAGCCTGTACCCACTCATCCCAGTCTCTAGCTGGCTGGGCTGAAGGTGAAGGCACAACAAGACTGCAGGCGCTTGTACTAAAAAGAAACATATTTTTGGCAATGCACCCAGATTCCAGGATTTTCTTATTAGTGAAAAGATCAGATCCTACACATTAAGAGCAACCTGCCTCCACAACTGATGGAAAACGAGCAGCTCCGCCTGCTAATACTACAGGACTCAGAAGATCCCAGTAAAACAGACCTATGACTTTGGTCATGCAGGTGTCTAAATCCACAGAACGAACTGCCCCTAACTCGACAGGAAACCAGAGCTACAGCCTTAGTCCAGCTGCTTACCAATCACTCCGAGGCTTGTGAGCCGCAGGTACTCAAATGGACGCGTCTTGCTAACTGTGTGCAGGAATGGGTACAGGAAGAGAGGGATATGAGCTGCCAGAAAAGCTGACCTGTAGGAAAGGGAAAACACCCAACATGAGAGACAAGGACAACAAAGTGAGCACATAACCCAGTGTTACCATGCACAGCCTCAGACTACTCCTGACAGACACCATTACTGCTGCTCCTCAAAAGCGGGTCACAGTTTGAGTCCTGATGGAAGAGCATGAAGTAAATTCTGCACTGGGAACAGCACAAAATCTAACACCTAAACCATCAGTTACCGGCATGGCTGTCAGGAACAGAGCCTGTCCTGTTGTTTTTATTACCTTTTCCTGCCACCCAGACCCTCTGCTTGGTACATTAACTGTTGTATCCCACTTGCCAGGCTCCCACAGGCAGGTACAGTTACCCACAACACACATGCCAAGCCTCTGCATGACAGAAATCCAGACTGGCTGATCTCTAGGCATTACCACACTTTAAACGTGCACAGCCACCAAGAGTCCTCACACTGCTTTCTGACAATGGCGAAAAACACAGACTTCAGGGAGAAACCTGGAGATTGCTTTGCTAGCAGGGGGAAGCTCTCTTGAATCATTACCCAACATTCTTCCTCTGTTTTCAGTTTTCAGCTTTAAATGTAAAGGTGTATGGTGCGAAACTACCCTATTTATTTGGATATCATCTCATGGAGGGTTGCTGTTTAACACTACTTCGCAGCAGCTGAAAAGCAGCTTCACCTACGCTGCACTTTCTTCTAATGGAAACATGAGATCACAGACCTATAGGTAGTTTGGTTCTGAGTTTTAGTGACTGATTTTGGCTGAACTAACACTATCTTCTCCCCTGCTGACGTGTACTGGACACGGATAGAGAAAACCTGAAGTCATGCATTGGCTGAGGACTCCAGATATGGCTCTGCTATTGCTCCCCTTGCCACATGTTTTCTGGGAAGGACAGTCCTGCTCATTCCACCCTTTGGACAGCTGGTTTAAGTAACTGTAAGCTGCTTGTCTAAATAACTATAAGCTCTTTAAAACAAGGATCCTGCACACAGCACTCAGCACAAAGGCACCCTTATCGCTGGCTGAGCTCCCAGGAGCTGCCACAACCCACCATTTTGGGAATTTACAGGACCTCAGGATGATTCAGGGAATGCACTGCATTTAGGACCACCATAAAGCTGTCATCCTGCTAATCTGAGCAAACAAGTGAAAGCAGCAGGCGGTTGCCTATCTTTCAGCTTTGTCCCTTGTTCCGCTTCTCTTGGTAAAAGAGAAGAAAGGAGAAAGAAAGAAAAGAGAAACTTACGTCCTTCTGCAGTCAGACAGACAGGCTGGCTTGTCGATATCAACACCTCAGAGAACTTACACACTTGGAAACACTTACCTCGTTTCAGGATGCGATGCAACACACTGTAGTAGAGCTAAAGCATTGCAGACTCTGTTGGACTGATGGGCTGTCAAAGTCGGAGGGTTGATTGATGGATAAATATTTACAATTTCCTAAAATTTAAGAGATTCGGAAAAGTTAAAGGAGAAAAACATCAGCAAGATGCACCAAAGCACTTGCCCAACAATGAATGGTGGTGTCAAGAGACAACAGTCTGCTCTCGCCAAGCATCACTTTGAAGTTACATGGCAGCCACCAGGCTCTGCAGGCAAGGGTAGAGCTGGGTCAGAGTAAATTTGACAAGGAGTCACAGGAATGCATTCAAACCTTAATTTCAGTAAAAAAGGGTTCATTTGATTTCCTGGCTCTTTACTAGTGTAGAGACTGCTTTGTTTTGAACTTCCAGAGCGAAGAGGAGCGTTGTTCCTGTGCCTAGAGGCAGAGCACACCCACTCTATTCATACTGCAGCTCCTGGTACTCTTCTAACTCAATGCAGGGGAAACAGCTGAGGGCGAGAAATCCAATTCAGAAATCTGCCTGCTTCCAACTATAGCTCCCTTCTAATTTTCTTCACTTGTTTCAGGACCACACTGAAAACAGTTTGACATTGCCAATCCTGCACTCTTTTCTTTCCTTCTTCAAAAAAAATTACTAGATTCGGCACTGAGAGATAGCCAGTCATCAGCTGTAGAACAGTTTGCCCAGAGATAAGCTGAGTCACTCGGTTTGACAGGAAATGTAGGTAGTTTCCCTTGCAAGGATGTCTGGAGTAGTGATCAGCATTCCTATGCTGCCCTTCCTGCGGGCTCCCTGTAAGGGCAACCTTCTGACCAGGAAGTGCTCCAGCTCACAAAAAAAAAAAAAAAAAAATCAAATCAGAGATCTCGGGAGTGACAGTTGTGGTTCTGGGTTCTGCTCTGACCCTGTATGAAGCTAAGTAGAACGTGAACTGCAGGCAGCTCGTACACCCAAGAACTCGCCTGCTCCCTTCCAACTGCGTGCGCTAATTAGAAATCTCAGTCTCTGCACACATTGCCTTGCTAGTGATGATTAACGGCAAACACTAGAAATGGGCTTCCCAGATCTGTTCCCCTCACCACGTGGTCCAACATCCGTCATACTCCCAGTAACAGCAACATGGGACCCCACCAGTGCCTCCCCAGATCTGCCCCATGGACGCACAAGCTCTGCTGCTGCTGCACCATGGAATAAAGACACCGCCAGCCCTACCCACCTGAAGGAGCGCTGCGATGGTGCCAAACGAGTGCCACAGCATCGGGGCAAGGTCAGGCACAGACTCGCGCTTCTTGCTCAGCTCCAGCAGCGCGTTCTCCCGTGTCTCCGGGCTGGACAGCTCATTGATCCACTGGTAGATCTTTTCGCGGTCAACCTGAGCCAGCGCTGTTGGCACAGGCTGGGAAGGAGACAAGAAAACTTCAGTCCAAACATTTTATGCAAGTCTCACCCAAACTCACCCCACAACCCGGCAGATAAGCAAAAAAGCACTCGAGAAACTCCTGACTGGGGGAGAGAGGAACTAAAGCTGCATTAAGATGCTCTGGATACGGATCCCTTCCTTAGATGAGTATTATTATTTCACCTATATGAAATGCAAAGGATTTACTTTCTGCCCCGACTTGCTAGGACAGTCTCTCTTAATCTGCTTGACAAATAGCACCTTGTAACTTCATTCAGCAATACGAGAGCCCTGCTGGGAGGTCACACATACTCAGAGCAGTGCCCAGCAGAGCTCCCAGGGAGGTCACACATACTTTAGCCAGCTATTATTTGCTCCACCTGCATTTAGCACGCATTCATTTCACGCTTCAAATGCAAGTTTCCACAAATTCCAAGTAATGCAGACACTACCTTTTTCTCTCCAAAAACGCCCATGACATTGGAGACTGCCAATGGCTTCACCCAACATACATGAGAAAATTATTCATACAAATACTAGAAAAATTCTCACTACTCCGGCATCAGCATGACACTGTACACAGCCAGCAACACCTGCTGCTAAAGACATCTCACATTTATCCCATGTATCTTGTTTACATGCGTGGAGCCAAAAGGGAATTTTTCAAGACTGATTTTGTGCATAAATTCCTGGTCAAAATAAACCCAGAGAAGAGTAGATCTGCACTCACAGTCAAGGCATATTTTCTACTACTCAGGAAAAATGCAGGATTTCTCTTCTGCTGTTCTTGGAACATCAGGGAAAGAACAGCATCAAGGCCTACAAGTTTTCAAGCCAAAAAAAATGAGGGAGGGCTGGGAGAGAAAGGAAGAGAAACAGGAACTTTCTGTGGAAAGGGCAAGGAGCAAGCCTTTCAAAGGAAGTTTGTCTCATGCCTCTGCTGGCACAGCAAGCACTCAGGTGTAACAAACACTCAGCAGGCTTCCTAATGAGACAGTTTGGGGACTCAGATCCAAAATTTTGAGGGAGACAAACGCAGACATTAAAATTCCCTGTGTAAACACTTCCGAAAGCTGGTTCAGAATCTATTCATTCTGCTGCAGCGTTTACTATTCAAGTAAAGCACAGCCCTGCACAGACACTGCTGCTCCTGAGCTAACCTACATGCAACCAACCAGCTCGGCATCCCCATGCGTAGGGGGCAGTCACGGCTGGGAGCAGAGAATGGACTGTATTCCTTTTTTTTTTTTTTCAAAGCCAGACTGAAACTCTTCGTGTGCTTACCACAACAGACGGGACCACTGCCTGTACCGCACTGACAGTAAACACCACCTTTAAGCAGCTCGTCACCGAGGCACTGAGGAGAACACAAAGGAGTTCAGGAACAAACCTGAAACCATACGCCAGAGGCAGGTTCCCAGAACTACAGGAGGGACGAGGAGGGACTTCTTAACCTTTGGCAGACACCTCCAGAGCTTTCTGTCTACCTCTGCAAAGGTTTCCCTCCTCCATTCATTCACATATTATATCCATAGTCACGTCCAAAGAGATTCTTCCCCAGCTGTGGGATTTCTCCCCCCGCCAGACCCTTCCATCACATTATTTAACTTAAATGTCTACATATAAGCGAATGCGCTGTTATCAATCCCTGTACTCTAGGGCTCAAATATCTGTTTAGCTGTTCATCTTTCCTCCTGTCCTCTTTTTTCTTGTCTACTCGATGTTTCAGGTTTTTGGTTTGTGTGTGGTTTTGTTTTGTTTTCTCCTGAACTTCAAACTAAATTAGTAATCTTGACAAATTTATTGTGCTCTTACAGCTAGGAGTGCAATTGCAATGGCAACTCCTACTCTGGAGCTCAGGAAGACAGGGAGAATGAACAGAGCTCGTTTGTTTTTATTTGGGATGGTAGAGTGACAAGCAGTGTAGCAATAATGTTGTTATAATTGTGTTATCTAAAGCTTCCATCTATTTTTCTAGACTCACTGGAAGTTTCAGTTCCTGTAAGCTTAAATACATTGACCCTTTAAAAGCACAATCATGTGCTTGTGATCCCTGGAGAACACTAAGCAGATTTTCCACACAATTAAGTTTATGATGTCCAGTATCTGTCTTAGCCAGAACCAACTGCTTTTCACAGGCTCTACAGTTGCTCCTCTCGTTTCAGTTTAAATTGAAAGACATATTTTTTCCTAATTTTCTACTTTACTATTGTTCACCCTTCCCCCTCTAAAACCTAAAATTCTGGGGAACCCTGAGGGCTACACACAAATCCTGCAAGCTCCGAGACAGAACCCTGCCAGGCAGACTTTTCTTTTGCACAACAGGGAAAGCAAAAGTTGACAAGAGTATGTCAACACAGCACAAACTAGCCACCTCTGCATCATGAAAGATCTTGTAACACCTTCCTCAAGAGAAACAGCGTTACCTCAAACATCCATGCCCGATTACATCTCCAACAATCACATAATGAACTGGATATAGGCTTTCTCTTCCTAATTGAGCAGTTGCTGCTAGGCACACTGGTAAAAGTACCTGCCAACCAAACAGAACATTGACTAACTGGTTACGTGTGCTTTTTAAACTATTTTGATAGATCACCAACTCAAAAATAGCAGAATGAATTTTGAACTTCAGTAGCAGTGGATTAACTGGTTTTAGTCGGGCTTTCAATGCCTCACTGTCAGTTACAGCCACATTTATCGCTTTTAGCCTGTTCTCGAGCCTCTAGCATGTTATGCTGTCTCCAGGTTTGAAACCAAAGCATCAGCTCTGCCACCAGCATCGCTCTATGAAGACCAACGCTCTGGCTCACCACAGCATTCACAACACCCAAAAGGATTCCTGAGCCAATTCATGACCCTACTAAGAAGTAACATTACCTACTAGAGCTCCCAAGCACATCTCCAGAACCAAACATCCTTTTCTGTCACCTTTAGTCTAAGCATACTGACTGTGGTAGGAAACATTTTAATACAGAACTACCAGGTGGCATGAATTATGTATAAATTGAACATAAATTCAAATAAATGCCAAAATAAAGTTGATTCCTATTCCTGAAACAGATTATGTTGATAAAATTGTCTTGAAAAAAACCCACCTTTTATAGAGAGGTGACTAGAACACAGATAGAGGATTAATAGAGATAAACAGTCCCTCATGCACGTCGACAAGCACTTAGAAATTACATTGCTATAAGAATGTAAATACTGATGAAGAGAGTTCACAATGATCTTGCACACCCTTCTGTGCTCTGGAAAGCCTTACTTCAAATCAGAAGTATTTGCCGGCACTCCAAGAACCAATTTAAAGTCACGAGCACTTAAAGTGGGAAGACATAAAAAGCTCTCTCGACTTCTGCTCACAAGCACTTTACTCACTCTTGCTCGTTAGTCCAAGCAGATCCTTGAGCTAAGTTCCTCTGAAAACAGCTCTAACCGCTGGTCCTGCAATACACCTCCCAAACCCAACACACACCAGAGACTCACTCAGTTCTAGGAAGTCTTACACATGTGATGAATGTGCACTTGCAGAAGTGAAAACCAAAACACAAACCCACTCAGACGGGAGATAACATGCAATAACCACATCGTTCAAACTCAGCTTCCATTTTTGAATCCAACCAGGACAAGCTACTGCTCTACTCCCACCAGCCTGAGTATCAGGCACCCCATCCCACCACTGCTGCTTCCTAAGAGGGAGGAGGACAAGCACCGACTACGGACAGCACTGCAAGGTTTTGGGGGGAAGCACCAACTACAGAGAGCACTGCAAGGTTTTGGGGGGAAGCACCGACTACAGAGAGCACTGCAAGGTTTTGGGGGG